GCCACACCAAAAGGTGGCAAGAAGGGTCCTGGTCAAGAAAATGTGTGCGGTAGCGTCATAAAGCCCAAATGAACAAAGTCCAACAGCAACGGTGACAAGTCTAGACATGACATGCCGTAGACAAACGATGCTGACCCCGAGCGCACCATGCTTCGGATAGACGAGAAGCTTTCCGTGCTCACAAAGTCCAGGACCAACAGATTGAAACCCGAATGTGAAATCCCATAGACCAACGGTACAAAGTCCAGTCACACAAAGCTATGCAGAAACATCAATAATTCCAGGGAAATAAAGTCCAGAACTAACGATAAAGAGCCAAGACGAGCCAAGCCAAAGGCCGACAAGACAGGCCCCAAGTGAGCAAAGCTGTGTGGAAACAACACCAAACCCAATTGCACAAGATCCAGCACAAGCAAGAAGGAACCCAAACAAGACACACCATAGACTGGAGGTGAAAATCCAGTTCAAAGAAGGCTTTGCAGAGACAAAATGCTTCCGAATGTTGCGAAATCCAACACCGGCAAGGACAGGTCGATGACAGTCATGCCATAGACGGAGATAGCTGATTCTAGTCGACTGTATCCTCTGAGAGGTAACGTGCTGCCCACAGACAAGAGATCCAGTAGTGAGGGTGAGGAGCCCGTTCGAACCAGCCCATAGATTGGCAAGGGAAATCCATGTCAGGCAAGGGTGTGCAGCAAGAATGACGGATCAATATGCACAAAATCCAGGGCTAACAACAAAAAGTCCAAGCAGGTCATGCCGTAGACCAAAGTCACAGACCCAGGCCACACAAGGCTTTGCAACGACGAGCTTAAGCCAAGATGGACAAGGTCCAGCACCAGCAACAAGAAGCCAAGTCTGCTCATTCCAAAGACCAAGGGCGAAGAGCCAAGATGTGCAGAGCCTTGGAGCAGCAGCATGGGGCCAAGGTGAATGAGATCCGGAACCAACAGAAGCAGTTCCGATCGAGCCACACCAACTACAGGTAGGGAGAAGTCCAACCTCATCAAGCCCTGCAATAACGAGGAAGAGTCCGAATGGATGAGGTCCAAGATCAACAGGGCCAATTCGCAACAGGCCATGCCATAGACAGAAGGCATGGAATCGAGATGGCAGTAAGATCTAGGTAACAAGGAAGATCCCAAGTGCACCATATCCAAAATCGAAGTGACTGAGCCCAGGCAACTCAATCCGGAGACCAGCAGAATTGACCCAGGTCGACAGAAGCTTTGAGGTGACAATGCACTGTCCAAGCGGATGGGATCCAGTACCAACAACGAAAACTCCAAACACGTCATGCCGTAGGCGGACAACGCGGGTTCCAAATGCACGTGACCTCTGAGAGAAAACGCGCTGCCGATGAATCCGAAGTCAAGGATCGGGAGGGGCAAGTCCAGTCTTGCCATTCCAAAGACCAACAAAGTGGAGCCCGATCGAGCAAAGGACCTCAAAAGCATGGATGACCCAAGGTGGAAAAAGTCAAGTGCTGAGGGATGCAGGCCAACTCATGACATGCCATAGGCAAACGAAATGAGGCCCAGGTGCATGTGTGATTGCAAAAACAAGAAGCTTTCCAAGTGGGCGTAGTCCAATACCAACAAAAACAGTTCTGACTTTGAAATGCCAAAGGCCAACAATGCAAATTCAAGTCTTAAGTGGGATCGCACCAACAGCAAAAAGCCAAGAGTTGCAGGGTCTGGAGCTAAGGGCGAAAGGCCCAGACGTGTCAGTCCATACACCAACAAGACCAAATCAGTACACGCAAATCCCTGCGATGGTGAGACGGAGTCGATGTACACAAAGTCCAGGACCGGTGGAGATGAAGCTAACCTGGTGACGCCATAGATGGACGTGGGAAATCCAGGATGAAGGAAACTCCTTGGGAAAGGCGATGGATCAGGAGAGGCAAAATCCAGAAGTGACGAAGTTGAGCCAAGTCGAGTCATGCCGTAAGTCGAGGCTGCAGAACCCGATCAGGCATATGTTTGCGAAGACAACGAGAGATCGAGGTTCACAAAGTCTAAAGCTGGGGTTGATGAACTTGAGCAACACACGCCGTAGACCAACAACAGTGAGTCAGGTCAGCTGGATCCGCGTGAGGACGATGGGAATCCCAAGTGAATGAGGTCTAGAATCAAGAAAGACAAACTCAAGCGGACCATGCCATACATTAACAAAGGCAGGTCAAGTCTTGCAAAGGATCTCAGAGATGATGAAAAGCCCATGTACAGGTGGTCCAGAGTTAGCAAGAAACTTCCCGATCATGCCAATCCAAAGACCGACAACAAGCTATCAATGCAAGCAGGGCCATGTGAAGACATCAACGGTTCGATTTGAATAAAGTCCAAAACCAACAGTAGCAATTCCAGACGTGACAAGCCAAACGTGGATGAAGTCGATCCGATTTTGATGAAGCCGTGTAGAAAAATGGGCGGGCCCATGCAGGCAGAGTCCAGCACGGAGACCGAGAAGTCCATACAGGTCATACCATAAGTTGACGGCAACGAGCCGGTGCAAATGTAGTTTTGTAGCGACAAGGAGAAATCAAGATGCAAAGGGTCAAGCATTGGCATCAAGAGCTCAAGACATGTCATTCCAAAGGCCAACAGAAGAGGTCCTGAGCGTCCAAAATGCCTCAGGAACAGCAAGGAGCCCAAATGGAGAAGGTCCAACACTGATAGTGACAGCTCAGGCCATGAGATTCCATAGGCTGAAAGCGATGAGCCACATCAAACGAGCGTTTGCAAAGAGGCTGCCAAGTCAAAATGAATGAAGTCCAAAACGGACATCGGAAAGTCAAGGCGAGTCAGGCCAAAGACAGACAACGAGAAGCCCAAGCGAGCAAAGCTTTGGGTCAGCATCATTGATCCAAAGTCACCAAAATCCAAGAGAGAAATACTGGAGTCTGAGCAAACCAGGCCATATACCGATACAGAAAGTCCCAACTTTGCAAAGCTGCGCAACGGCATCGAGAAGTCCATATGGATAGGATCAAGCGTAGGCAGCAAGGAACCTAGCCGCGACATGCCATACACAGACATCAACAAATCGGCTCGAGCAAAGCCTCGGGTTGATGGTCCAAGGCCCAAATGCACAAAATCCAACAGCAACATCGAAGAATCCAAACAAACTATGCCATAAACCAACAGCAACAGATCTGCTCACGCATGCATTTGAAGTAACAGTAAAGAGCCAGCTGTGATGAAATCCAGTGCAGACAGCATGGAGCCTGTACGTGACATACCATAGGCTGGCAGGGCTGGTCCGACTCACACAAAGCTTTGGAGTGACGAGAATGAACCCAACTGCAAGTGGTCTAAGATTGGCGACAAAAAGCCTGAGCGGTTGCATCCGTATACAAAAGCAGAGGAGTCGAAGCAAACATGTCCTCGTAGAAACAAGATCAAACCCAGGAAGACGTGGTCTAATGCTGAGAGAGACAGACCAAATCTAGTCATTCCATAGACGAACAGGAAGAAGTCATATTGGGCAAAGCTCCTGAGGGACAAAGTGAAATCTAACGCCACAAAGTCTAGAGCAAAAGGCGAAAATTCCGGCTTTGACATGCCAAAGGCAGAAAGTGCGGAACCAGCTCGCAGGAAGCCCCGCGAAAACAAGCTGGAGCCTAAACGAGCAAAGTCCAAGATTGGTGGAGCAAAGCCGGGGCATGTCATACCATAGGTCAACGAAAAAGATCCCATCCACACAAAGCTTTGCGACGACAACACGCTATCCAAGTGAACGAAGTCCGAGATCAACACGGAAAAACCCAAGCAGGTTATGCCATAAATGGACGACAGTGAACCCATTCACATGAAGGATCTGGTGGACGATGTACTACCGAAAGATCCACAGTCCAACAGGGACAGAGGAGATTCAAGTCAAGTCAGTCCATAGACTGACAACATCAGTCCAGCCCGTGCATATGACCTGAGAAACATCAACGAGCCTGAATGGAAAAAGTCCAGTGCCAAGGGTGTGAAATCAGGTCGCTGCATGCCATAGGCAGACAAGAGCAGTTCAAGGCACAAAAGGCTCTTCAAAAACAACACCAAGCCCAGATGGCCAAAATCTGCGACCAACAGTGACAAACCCAGACGTGATAAGCCATAGACGGGCAAGGTGAGTTCAAGCTTGATGGTACTTTGCAGCAAGAGGGCGAAACCTGGATTGATGGAGTCCGAAACCAGCAACGTCGGTCCGAGCTTGGTGATGCCAAAGACCGGCAACGTCGAACCCAAACACAGAAGGCTTTGCGGAGACACCACGGATCCAGCAGTCACAAAGTCCAGAACTAAGAGGGTGAAGTCAAGCTTGGCGATGCCATAAAGAAACAGGACAGGTCCGAGGTAAATGAAGGATTGTAAAAACATGGAGGAACCAAAAGTCATCAAATCCAACACCAAGATGGAAAAGCCAAGACAAGTGATGCCATAGACCAGCAAGGGCGAGTCCATACACATGAGGCCATGCAAGGACGTCATAGATCCCATCGTCACGTAGTCCAAGACCAACGACGATGAACCGGGTTTCGATATCCCCCAGGCAGAAGGTGGCAACTCCATACGGCAAGAGGCTTGCATCAGCAACGAGGGCCCTGGCAACACAAGATCTGAGGTTGACACCAACAAGTCCAATTTCGCTAAGCCATAAGCAAACAAGGCCAAGTCTGCACAAACCATACTATGGATGAATGATGCCAAGTCCAAATGAACAAGATCCAAGGCCGACAAGACCAAGCCCAAACGAGAGAGGCCATAGATGGATAAGGTGAAGCCAAGACACACAGGACTTTGCAAAGAGATGTTTGGCTCCAGGTGTATAAGATCCAAGACCAACAGCAACGCTTCCATTCGAGTCTTATCGTACATCAACAACAAGAATCCCAAGCGAGCGAAACTTTTCACAGGCAACGCGCTTCCGATCTTCACAGGATCCAGCGCAGAAAGTGTGAAGTCTGAACACATCACGCCATAAACAAACATGGAAAAACCAACTCAGAAGGAGCCTTGTAGCAACGTTGAAGACTCAGTCTGAACGTGGTCCAAAGCAAACAGGAAAGAGTCTGAGCAGCTCAAGCCATAGACTGATAGAAACAGGTCAAGGCACAAAAAGCTGCTGGTTGAAAGGGTCAAATCAAAATGTCCAAAGTCGAGAATTGACAAAGATAACTCCAGGCAGCTGATTCCATAGGCCAACAAGACTGGTTCAGAGCACGAGAAGGTTTGAGGCGGCAACGGAAAACCCAAGTGCACAAAATCCACCACTGGCATCGGCGGCTCAAGGCAGAACATGCCGTACACTGACAACACCGAGCCTGAACATGTGTGTGATCGCAAGAACAACACAAAGTCTAAGTGTATGAAGTCCAAGATGGGCAAGGGGAAGTCCAGTTTTGTGATCCCATAAACTGACAAGAACAACTCGGGGCGGCACATACTGTGCAAAGAAAAAGAGGAGCCTGGATTGATGAAATCTAAGGTTGGCAAAGCCAGTTCAGGGCAGGTCATGCCATAGGCAAACAACAGCAATTCAGATCGTGCGAAGCCATGCAACAGCAAGGACGGTTCTGGGTGAATGAAGTCCAAGGTGGGCATGGACAGGCCTAGACATGCCAAACCAAACACCGAAAGCGCTAGGTCCATTTGAACAAAGCCTCTCAAAAACGATGGCAAACCCAATTGAACGAGGTCCAGGACCGACAGGGAGGGATCAAGCTGTGTAATGCCAAACACTGACAACAGAGACCCTGCACGGAAGAGGCTTCGCAAGAAGAAGCTCGAGCCAAAATGCACACAGTCCAAGACCGGAAGGCGCCCGTCTGGACAGCTCATGCCATAGGCCGACGTCAACAATCCCAGACGTACATAGCTCCGGAGAAAAATAAAGAATCCCGTCACCACATGATCAGGTACAGATAGGCTCAAGTCGATTCGTGCAACTCCATAGAGTGATAGCACTAAACCAAGTTGTGCAAAGGATTGCAGGAACAGAAAAGGATCTGGATGCAAGAAATCCAAGGCCAACAAGCTTGAGTCCAGCCTGCAACAGCCATAAACAAACAGGATGGATCCCAGCCGGAGAAGGGACCTCATGAACAGGAAGAACTCAAGGTGAATGAAATCCAAAATCAATGGTCCCAAGCCCAACTTGCTGAGTCCATAAGCTGACAGGCTGGAGCCCAAGCGCGCAAAGGATCTCACGGATAGGGAGCTTGACCCAACAAAGCAATCTTTCACTGAGAGGTTCAACTCCGAACAAGCAATGCCAAACGCTGGCAGGAAGAAACCCAAATAAATGAAGCTCTTCGACAACAGTGATGGGCCCAAACTCAAGTAATCTGAGACAAATGGTGAAAGGCCTGAAGTCACCAGGCCATAAGCCAACGGCATCAGACCGATACGTGCATGTGCGCGAAGCAATGAGGTTGGTTCTAAACTGACATGGTCCAAGGTCAATAGGGAGAATCCTGGCATTGAAACCCCAAAGATGAGCAAAGGAAGGCCCAGATGTACGAAGGATTGCAACAACAAGCTGAAACCCAGAGAAGCAAAATCCGAGACCGACAGAAAAGACCCGGGTCAAACCATGCCAAAGGCTAAAGGCGCCAAACCCACTTGAGTATGACCTCGAAGAGACGGGGCAGAGCCAAGAAAGACATAGTCCAACAGAGACAACATGAAACCAGGTCGTGTCATTCCATAGACTGAAGTAGAGCTGTCAAATTAAATGAAGGTCTTTGGGAACAACACAGGCTCAAGGTGCACCATATCCGAGATCAGCAATGAGAAATCTGATCTGCTCATTCCGGATGCCAACAATGGTGGGTCTGGGTGCAAATGGCCTCTCAGCAACAAGAAACTTTCAGGTTGCACGTGGTCCAACACCAACGATGGAGGTCCCAAGCGCGACATGCCATAGACCAACGGTGGGAATCCAAGTCGAAAGTTCGTGCGTGGCGATGATGGTGAACCTAAGGCCACGAGGTCCAAGGTCAACGATGACAAGTCCAGCTTAGTACAGCCATACACGAACAAAACCAGATCAAGTCGCATAAGTCCTTGCAGTGGAGCTGAACTTCCGAAGTGACAGTGGTCCAAAATCAGCAGCAGAAGATCTGATCAAGTCAGGCCATAGGTTGAAAGACTGAAGCCAAAATGAGCAAGTGACCGAAGAAACAATGAGGGGCCAATTTGGACGAAATCCAACACCAAGACGGGCAATTCATATCGCACTGCACTGAAGGTCAACGAGATAGACTCGACACGCGCAGAGCTTTGAGCTGAAGGCGACGATTCAAAACTCATGAGGTCCAAGATCGACAAAGGGAATCCCAATCTGGTGATCCCATAAACAAACAGCAACGGTCCCAAACACATGTAGCCATGTAGAAACAAAATGCTTTCAAGATCCGTATAATCCAATAGCGATACCAAGAAGTCCAGGCAAGAGAGGCCAAAGAGCGATGACATCAAGTCCAGTCAACTGGAGCCTTGAAGCGGAAGAAAGGATCCCATCTGAACAGAGTCAAGAGTTGGCAGCAAGAAGCCCAAGCACGAGATGCCATAGATAGATAGGATAGATCCAATGTGCAAGAAGCCATGCAAAGAAGGAAAGAAACCAATATGAACAAGATCCAGTGCAAATAACTGAGACCCCAGGCAGCTCATGCCATAGGTTGAGACACACAAACCCATTCAGGCAGAGCTTCTCAAGGGGAGCGAACTGTCCATGTGGATAGAGTCCGAAATTGACATCAGCGAGCCCAATCGTGCACAGCCAAAGGGCAACAGCGTGGGTTCCAGTTGAGTGAGGCCATGCAATGACAAAGTGGAACCAAGGGCCACAAAGTCCAAAACCAATAGGGAGAAGCCCAAGCATCCAATCCCAAAGATCAATAGCAACAGACCCAAACAAACAAAACTGTGCACAGACGTCGTAAAGCCAATCTTGATGAGGTCCAAGATAAGCACCGAGAAGTCCATCCTGCTGCAGCCATAGATCAACGTGGTCAAGTCTGAACGAGCAAAACCCCGGGGCAGTGAAGTGAATCCCAAGTGACACAAATCCAACACCAACGAGATAAAGTCCATTCACAACAGGCCGTAAGCAGGCGACACAGGACCCACACACATAAAGCTGTGCAGCAGCAGTGAGGATCCCATGTGCAGAAGATCCAAGGCAAACAAAGGAGGCTCAAGACATGTCATACCCCACATGGACAGCGACAAGCCCATGCAAATAGGACTTCGCAAGAACAAGAAGGAGCCAAGATGCACAGGGTCCGACGCAAACAGAGAAGAGCCCAATCTGGTCATTCCGTAGGTCAGCGCCAATGGGTCTGATTGTACAGGACCTTGCAAGGGCAAGGTCGAGCCAAGATTAACAGAGTCCACGATCAGTAGAAAAAACTCAGGTCATGTCATTCCAAAGGCCAGCAGCAGGAATTCCGCTTGCACGAAGCCACGGAGTGATAGGTTGAAGTCAGGGTGGATGAAATCAAGAGTGGACAAAGGAGATCCCGAACATGTCATGCCAAAGACTGGCATGGTGAATCCAATTCTCGAAAGACTTCGCAGCAGCAGGGTGAAGGCAACACTCAAAAAGTCACAGACGGATGGTGACAAGTCCGAGTACGTCATCCCAAACGCTAAAGTCGGACTGTCCGGACGTGTAAATCCCTGCAGCAACAAAGAGGAACCTGGGTGCAGAAGGTCCAAGACTAAGAGAGGTAATTCCAAACGTGTTAAGCCAAAGGCCAACAGTGATGAACCCAAACACAGGAAGCTATGCATGGGCAGTATGAGATCAGGTTGTACAGAATCCAAGACAAAGAGTGAAAGGTCTGAGGCTGCGACACCATAAGTTGACAGTAGCAATTCCAAACGGATATAAGAACGCAGCGAAGGGGAGCTGCCAAGATGAATGAGATCAAGAACTAGCAATGACAAACCCAATCAAGACAAGCCAAAGGCCAACAGCAAAAATCCCAGATGCGAAGAGCCTTGAAGGAACAACAAAGGGTCCAGCAGGATGAAGTCCAATGGTGAGGGCGGTGAATCCAATCTTGTCAAGCCAAAAACTGATGTCGAGAGCTCAAGACACACAGGGCCTCTAAGCAGTGGAGAGGAGTCTGTGTGAAGAAGGTCCAACACTGACAAGAAGAATCCAACTCTCGACATGCCGTAAGCCAACAAAGTGGGGCCAAGCCGTGTGTGGCTTTGAAGCAACGGCGTTGAGCCAAGTAGGCAGAAATCTAAGACTAAGACTGGAGATCCCGACCGGCTCAGGCCATACGCGAGCAGCATCAAATCAGAGTGTGCGGAGCTCCTCAATGACAAGGAGAATCCAAAGGTCGCAAAGTCCAAGACCAACAACGAGAAGTCCAAACAAGTCATACCAAATGCCAACATCACCAATTCAGGCCGGATGAGGTACCGCGGCAACAACGGCAGTCCAGGATTTACAAAATCGAGGATAGACAAACTCAAGTCCGAACAATTCATCCCGTAAGTTGACAAGGCCAAGTCAGCTCGAGCCCAGGCTCTCAAAAATGCAGTTGAACCAGGTGCGACAAAATCAAGCACCGGCAAAGTGAAGCCAGGACAAGCAATGCCATAGGCCAATGGCACCAAACCAAGTTAACTGAGACTTTGCAGAGGCATGAAGGAGTCAGTGTGGTAAAGATCCAGCAGTAACAGGAAAGGGTCCAAACACATCATACCAAACGAAAACGTGGCCGAACCCAGGTGTGCGAAGCTGTGCAGGGGCAACAAGCTGCCAATATGAACAAAGTTCAGAACTGACAAGGAAAACTCTGAACGCGAGATGCCAAAGGCTGACATCATCGATCCGATGTGCATGAAGCCATGTGGCAACAAGAACAAACCAAGGCTAAAAAGGTCCAGGGCGAACAACAAAAGGCCCAGACATGTCATGCCAAAGACCAACAGTGGGAATCCCGGATGTGCTGGAGCTCGCAATGAAATCGATGAACCCGTGCTGGCATAGTCAGTCACCGACAGAGACAGGTCCAGCCAAACCATGCCGTAGGCTGAAACCACGCTATCCAAATGCGAGAAGCTGTGCAGCGGCAAGGAAGACCCCATGTGTACAAAGTCCAAAACAGGCAGCGAAAAACCCAACTGAGTCATCCCATATGCCAACATCAAGGAACCCAGTCTGCCAAAGCTTCTCAAAGAGAGAGAGCTTTGCATGGTGCCATGGTCAGAGGCTGACGGAGTTCTTTCCACTCTCAGAAAGCTCCCAGCGAACATTGGCAAATCCATGTTCACAAGGTCCAGGATCAAAGGAGACGAACCAGGTCGGGCAATGCCGTAGGCAAACAGCGATAGTTCAAGTCGTGAGAAACCGTGCAACAGCAGCAAAAATCCAATCTGCACAAAGTCAAGGACCAACAACGAAGGTTCCAAGCACGTGATGCCATAAACCAACATCGACGAGCCCAGCCGAGCAAAGCTTCGCACAGAGTACGAGCTTAAGAACTCGGCATAGCCTCGTGTCCTGAAACCTTCTGTGACAACGCACATTCCATAGATGGACGTCAGAAAGTCCGGTTGGGCAAGGCCATGCAACGGAGACACAGATCCAACTGTCACAAAGTCCAAGACAAAGGGTGAGAAACCCAATCATCCCATGCCATAGGCAGAAGGCATTGGTTCTGCGCGAGACATTGCACGCACTGGTGAGGAGCTACCAAGAGCGAAGTAGTCCAAGACCGGAGGGGATAATCCTAGGCAAGCCATGCCGTACACGGAAAACGCCAACCCCAGGTGAATGTGGCTTTGAAGGGACAGGAAGAAGCCCAAATGAATGAAGTCCAAGACCAACATCATACTTCCAAGCCTTGACATGCCATAGGCCAACAACACAAAACCAGTCCTCTGAAAGCCTTGAATCGATAAGGAGCTTCCAAAGTGCATAAAATCGAGAACTGAAGCCGTATCACCCAAACAACAGAGGCCATAGAGTGAAAATGAAAGGCCAAAGCACGAAAAACTTCGCAAGGACAAAAATGGATCCATCCCAACATAGTCCAACACCAGCAGCAAGGACTCGAGGCGCGTCATGCCAAAGACAGGCAAGGTGAAACCAAGGCGGCAATGTGCATGCGACAGCAGTACCAAGCCAAGATGCAGAGAATCCAGCAACGACAATAAAAATTCCAAGCAAGTCATGCCATAGATCAACATGGCTGAACCAAGATGTGCAAAACTTCGAAGTGAAAGGCTTGGACCAAGTGTCTCAAAGTCCAACAACAATGGCAATGAGCCCAACCTTGTCATGCCATAAACAAACATCTCACAACCTGATCACGCAGGAGATTGTGGGGACAATGAAAAGTCCAGGTGCACAAAATCCAGGATCAACA